TAGTTCTGTATAAACTGTTTCCATGACAGCATTCGCGTAGTAATACGTAAAAAAAAAAAAAAAAAGAAAGAAAAAAAAAAAATAAAACAAAAAATATAAAATATAATAAAATAGATTTAGATTTAGAAGAAATATTATTAAATATGATATAAATAACAGTAAATTTTTTTTCATAAAATCTATATTTAATTCAAAACATTTTAAATGTGATTTATAAAATAATATAAATATAATTCATAATTTATCATATAAAAAATTAATTTTATTTTTGACATTAAATATATTTATATAATAATAATCAAATCAAATAAAATTTTAATTCAAGTAAAATAGAAAATAATAAATAAAAAAAGAAATTAAATTGTCAAAATTGAATATACCGCGACTTATTGATTAGTGTATTCTAAAAAAATAACATTAAAGTCAAGTTTACAAGATTATATACAAGATTGCCAACATACGAAAATAAAATGGTAATAATGTAGAAGAAGGAGAGAACAATAGTATACCATGTGATTTTGTTAAGCAAATCAGTGCGGTGAGTCTTTCGTCACGTGTAATAGTGTTTTATTCTTTTATTTTCACACATTACTTGTTAACTTCATCTTTATTTACGATTTATAGTACAATCGTAAACATATAAAAAAAATTTAATGACATTCAATATTTTATTAAATTTAAAATGTCATCAAAGACAACACAGGTAATTTTATATATTTATATGCATATAATGAAGAAATCATAAATTATAACTTTATTATATTTATGTTATAAATTGTATTGTAATATTGAACCTATAAAAAAATTTATTTAAATTTTTTCTATTTTTAATTTCTATTTTATTTTCAAATTTAAAATAATTATAAATAATATTTTATTTTTTAAATTATAAATAAAAAAAAGTAATATATTTTTAAATATTTATATTAAATATGAAATATTTATTTTAGATCTCCGATACACTTAGAATTCTTCATTTGCCACCAGAACTTTCTGATGAACGACGTAATGAATTATTTAAAAAATATGGTGCTATTAAAACACAAACTTTAAGACTATCTAAAAAGTACACTATAACTTTTGCAAAATTTCAATCTCAAGAAATAGCTACAGAGGCATTGCTACGTTTGCATCAATTAAATGTCAAAGGTCAATATTTGACAGTTGAATTTGCTAAAAAGTCTATATCAATAGATAAAACAGAAGATAATATTGATAATGATAAACTTATTAAAGAAGAAAATAAGAAGGAATATATAAACAAATCCAATTTTCAAGCATTTTTACAAAAATTAAATAGTTGGACTATGAATCAAGTTTTTACTCAACCACCTCCACCAAATATTCAATACAAATATTCAGCACCAACAAAAGGCACTTTAATAAGAATATCCATACAATTATTAAAAGAACCAGCATTTTATACACAAGTATATTAATTAAAATATAGTTTAATATAATATTTTTTATTTTTATAAAATTTTTTATATTTATGTATATAATTTCTTATATTTGTATAGGTTTTACATTTAATGAATAGAATGAATTTACCACCTCCTTTTGAAGAATTAGAATCAGAATTTCCAGCACTTAAAGAAGTTTATAATATAGAAAAATATAAAGATATATTTTTAAAAGAAAATTTATACAATAAAGAAAATGAAGGTAATAATATTTATAATTTTCTTTCATTTTTATTTTTAAATTTTATATTAATTAATAATATAATAAAATATATTATATAATTATAACAAATAATATATTCAATAGATGTTTGTAATGAGGAATCAGATGAAGAAGAATCTGAAATAGAATCAAATGAAGAAGATAATACAAAATCTATAGAAATTATACCTGTTAAAAGAAAACGTCGGCAACATATAAAACGCTTAAAAATTCCAAAATTTATTAATCCTAGTAAACACATAACATCTTCAAGTTCTACACAAAAAGTTATAAAACCAGCAGATATGTTTGAGCCAATACAACGTGGTGAAACAAAAAATCTTAAAATTGAACTGAAAATGGTAGATAAATTATTGAGTACACCAAATAAAGAAGAAAATGTTGATTCTAAAAGTCATAATACTCCAGATAGTGGTTTTGGATTAATGTTTCCAATTTCTAAAAATCTTGATGTTATAGAAAATAATGAAATCACTGAGAATATTGATCAAGAAATAATTACATCTAATGAATTAGCAAATAATAGAATTTCAACTAATGGTAAGAATTGTTTTTTTTTTCCAGTTATTTTATTTAGTTAATGTATTTCTAATAAAATATCAAAAGAAAATATTTGATGGAACATATAAACAAATATTTATTCATATTATTAAATTATATTACATTAATATTATTAATATATAT